ATTTGTGAAGTAGAAAAGCATAGAAACTCTCGATACTATAGATAAAATTAAATAACTTTAGCCCTTGTTTCTTTAAGCTGACAGTAAAAGACTCCAAGTTCAAATTATCTTGAAAATACATAAACCTGCTCGTTTAAGGAAACGGAGGGGATATTTTTTTTCACGCTAATTTTGAGAAATATACTATTGGTCAAAGTATATGTCAAATTTTTTATGTCCGTGCGAAAGTTCGAACATTAGATACACGGACTTAAAAAGAGAAATGAATAAAAAACGGACATAGATACCTAAGAATTATTAGGAAATTCACCATAAAATATTTCAAAACTGAATCATTTTCGGGGGGAAAAATCATTGTAGGTCATCTTACCTCTAATGTATTGAGAAGCGCAGCCTTCTACGACAAGAAAGACAATTGCAAGCCGAAGAAGGCACTCCGACCTATGAAATAGCTCCATTTCTGGGCAGTTAATGCACTCGCTGAAAGAGAAATAGAGGGAAACTTTATTCTCTCTGAAGTCTAAACCCAATGAAGTATTCTCACCACTTGTATGGCATTAATGGCCAACAATTTCCGATAACGTCTGGGAAGCAGAAAGTTTCGATAAATGTGACGGTTAAAGAGACCCAATGGCCCAACTAAGCAAGATGCAGTAAAAATATGAGTCGGCAGAGAAGTGGAGAAACAGAGATAAGATGCTACGAATGATATGCAGGGGCGAGGTCTGAGCTGAGAGTCAGCCTGTCAGAGTCTTAATGGAAATTAACCGCAGTATCTTTTGTTTAATTGAATGTGGGTGGATAATCACGCACTTTGGAGTCATGAAGCTGTAAGTATAGAAAAAAATTAAAATAGGGTGCTTAATGGCTTCGACAATTAGAACACCATCGATTTGCCCACGATGACTAGGTATTGACTACTACAATCTTCAGGATAAGTTGTAAGAGGGGCGAATGATTGACGCTTCATGCACTAAAAGTTAAGTTGGAGGGCTAAGAGCACTTGAAGACGCATCAAAGGATACATCAGAATTGTGAAATTAAAAATAAAAATCAATTCGGCTTGACTGATAATAATTTGAATGTTTGCAGCTGCTCTTTCAAGTGACAAACTATTCACGATTGATCTTTTGCGTATTTGCATAAAAAAATATCCTGAATTGCTTTTTGCACAAGCGAGAATCGTACATTACGTAACACTTGCGAGCATCAATTGGAGTCTCAGAAAGCATCGATTGATAACATTTTAGTATTTGAATGTATCCTTTCATTTTATAAACTTAATTCTTCCACTCAAAACTTCTTCGCTTCTCTTCGTCTTCTTTCTTATTCATGTGGGTTTTTTTGAGCCAATTTCCCCCCAAATTTCTCAATTTAGCCGAATTTTTTAGCAGAAAACGTGCATGTCGTTGGAAATGATTCCAAATTTGTCAGGCTTTTCATCTTGTAATATATTTTACTTTAACCGTACTGGGGTAGCTCCTTCCTTTCAAGGCGATTCCATGCTTTTTCTGAGTTCTCCTACTTTAGGAGCTAACGTAGTTCCATATAAATGAAAAAGCGTCTAAAAATATTGCTACGGAGCTCTTCTGTAAGCACTAGGTATTTAAAACAACGAGGCGACACGACCGGCAGTAAGACTTCAAAAAGCGGACGAGCGAGAAACTGGAAAGTTAACAGTATTTGGCGAGTATAAATAAAAAACAAAAATCGAAAAAAACAATAAGCATACCCACCGAAAAAAAAAGAATCAGAAAAAAAAAAAAAAAAAAAAACGAAAAAGATAAGAAAGAAAAAAAAGTAATGGATAAGTCCAACACGAAGCAGTTGTTGTGTTCCCGCAAAACGTAAAGCAGTATTTTCTGTCTTAAAGTAGCAAATTGGTAAAACAATATTGTAGTTCTCCCAAAAATGCTTTCGAAAAGAAAGAAACCGTCAAATTTTATAATTTTTCTTCATTCTGATACAATTGCAACCAAAAAATAATTTGCTTCATCGTGAGTCAAATGTTTTGCGCCTCTTTCTTCCTCTTGAGCCACAAGACGGCGAATTGTTGGAATTAAGTGTTAAAACAACCGTGGTCTGAGAGAGTATATGCCCATTTGCGTATTGTAGTTTTTATTTTAACAGGCTTAATCTTCAAATCAGGCTCTTTCTATATTAAGAAAATCGTTAAACGACTGACTAGGGCCTGTAATCCTAGAATTCACATTTGAAAAAAGTCGAAAGGAAAAAATGAAAACCGAAGCAAAACATCATGAATTTTCCATGAAATACAGGTTTTTAAGTTACAAAAAGGGTAAGTTTTAGTGTGGTAAGAACGTTTCGCTTCTACAAGAAACAGCAAAGTTTCAGTCATGAAAAAAGCAGAGTGATCAACAACAACATCCGAAAAGAGCATCGTTTCAGCTTAGTTAAACATGAAGCTCGCTTGCATAAATTGTTAGACAACAAAAGCTCGATTTCACAGCCTTTTGGCCTATAAACCTAGATGTGGATC